CTCCACCCTGCACCGCGCTGTTATGCTAATCAGGTGACATCACCGCCCCGCGCGCGGTGAGTGGCTCCCGATTAAATTACAAACCGGCGGCCGCCGAGGGCAGCAGGGAGGAGGTGTGTGCGCTGCTCCCGCGAGCGCCCGGGCTCTGCGACCAGCCGAGCTGACAATAAAACATATTTAAAAAAAAAAAAAAAAAAGAGTGCCCAAGTCAAGTTACAGAACGAATGCTGGGGGCTGCAGCCTTAGGTCAACTCCAGAACCCAGGACTCGAACACCAGCTCGGACACTCAACTGTGGCCTTGATAAGTCTCTTTCTGGATCTCGGTTTCCACCTTAGCAGGCAGCTCTCTGGGTGGCCCACCTCCAAACAGTCACACAATCCCCTCCCTGGGGTCCCCCGGACCCAGTGACTGGCTTTTGTGGGGACATGGCTCTGAGATGAGCCATGAAGAGACCCTGGCCTGTGCCCCGCTGACCCTCCCGATCTAATAGCTGCCTTGAGAGAGGCCCCTGGGAGAAAACGGGGGGAGGAGCGCGCCTGTCCTAGCGTGGAGATGGCAGCAGCCCATCTACATCTTCACGAAGTCTTGTGAGAGCCCCAGACAAGATGGCTCAGCAAAGCTACACCCAGACTCCTGACCTGCAGAAACAGTGATTTAAAAAGGCAATGTTCAAGCTGCTCAGTCTTAGGTTCCCTGTTATTCAGCTGTGATACTGTGATTTATAATAAATATACAGGGTGGGAAAAAGTAGGTTTACAGTTGTGGGCATGTGAAACAGCTGTCTTTTGTTTTAACTTTTGTTTTTTGTGTGTGTGTGTGTGTTTTTTGTTTTTTTAATATATTTTATTGATTTTTTACAGAGAGGAAGGGAGAGGGATAGAGTTAGAAACATCGATGAGAGAGAAACATCAATCAGCTGCCTCCTGCACATCTCCCACTGGGATGTGCCCGCAACCATGGTACATGCCCCCGACGGGAATCGAACCTGGGACCCTTCAGTCAGCAGGCCGACGCTTTATCCACTGAGCCAAACCAGTTAGGGCAACTTTTGTATTCTTTTCCATATTAACTGTAAACCTATTTTTATGTGTTTTATGTGTGTTCCTTTCTTTTTTTTTAATTTTTTTTTAATGTCTGAAGTTTTACATTTGTCTTCTTTTTCCCCAATTGACAACCCCCCACCCCCCGCCGATTTCCACCCCAGGCAAGCCCCCACCGCCTCAGTGTCTGTGTCCACTGGATATGCTAATATGCATTCACACAGTGCTCTGGCTGCTCTCAACCCCCTCCTCCCCTACCATTTGTCTCTGGATCTATTCTTGTTCATCAAATTATGTTGATCATTATATCCCACATATGCGTGGGATCATGTGATACTTATCTTTCTCCGACTGGCTTATTTTGCTTAGCATAATGCTCTCCAGTTCCATCCATGCTGTTGCAAATGGTAAAAGTTCCTTCTTTTTTATAGCAGCATAGTATTCCACTGTGGAGATGTACCATATTTTTTATGTTTTTTATTTGAGAAAGAGAAAGATTGATGTGAAAGAGAAATATCAACCGGCTGCCTCGTGCACACAGCCTATTGGGGATGGAGCCCCCAACCCTGACATGTGTCCTGCCAGGAATTGAACCAGCAACCTTGTGGTGCATGGACCCATGCGCAACCTACTAAGCAACACCAGCCAGGACTGTAAACCTACTTTTGCCATACCCTATGTATTGCGTTTTTGTCCATCTCTGGACTAATCTGCCTTTTGTTATGTTAATGAAGTGGTTTTTAGAAAGCCCCTAAGGAAGGGGGCTGGTTGCCAGAGGAACCAACCACGTGGTTTGGAGGGTTAGGAAGGGAAAGGGACTGGAGGTTGAATCACTCCCCATTGGCTAATGATCTAATCAATTATGTCTGTGTAATGGGGCCTCCATAAAAACCCAAAAGAATGGGGTTTGGAAAGCTTCCGGGTTGGTGAACAGGAGGTGGTGCTGGGAGGTGACACCTGGTGAGGCATGGAAGTGCCACTCGTCCCACACCTGCCCTGTGCATCTCTTCACTTGGCTGCTCCTTTCAAAATCAGAAACACTCGAGAAGAAATGAAAGCAGAGGACACTCCACCAGTCAGTCTACTTCACCACCGCCACCAAAAACACAGAACACGGCCCCGCCAAGGGACGCTCAGGACACACGGGCACGCCTTGGTTGACCAACCTCCACTTCGCCACCCTGGGTTTCAGGAAGGTCAGGCCCAGCCGCTGCACCAGCTTCACCCTGAGTTTCCGGAGCAGAGTCTGGTTGCTGTCAGGGATCCTGCAGCCGTCCAGGCACTTGAGAACAGTGGCAGCTGCGAACAAAAGCACACGCGACTCAGTTTGGTGGAAGGATTTTACCCACCCACTTCCAACGTGCAACATCTGTGTTTGACGTCTACAGCATTTAAACCACAGACAATGCCACAGGACCCCCGAAGGCAGTGATGGCCTCAGTTCACAATGAACCCCGAGCCCCGTGTCATGAAGACCCTTTGTCCCACGTCATTGACCAAGTGCAGCGAGAGTGAACCTGCTCAGCTTTCTCCCGGTGAAGTAGCAGCCCCAGAGGTTGGGGGAGCAGAGCAGCCCAGAGGGAGGGAGAAGGAGCTCGTCTCCATGGAGAACAGCCCACGCTACAGACCACACAACATGACGCACACGACCCTGGGGTCGCTGCTGTTTGCTGCTGTTTTACAGGGGAGCCAGCATCAGGCATGAGTGGTCACAGCAGCGGGGGTGAGGCTGCCTGCCGGGAGGTCTCCACGGGCAGGGAAATGCTGCCAGGGCCGCTGCGGGGAATGCGGTGGACCTCGGGGGAAGCTGAGGCCACGACGGTAATTGGAATGGCATCTCATGTGAGAGACGAGGAGGCAGGGTTTCAAGACAAGTTGTAACAGCATCCGAGTAATTTCCTGAAAGGCCCAGTGTGCAGCCCTACCCGGTGTAACTGACTGACTGAAAACGGACCCCTGCTCTGTGTACACAAGTCCACGGAGGACAGACAACATGTGACGATGTTGGGCAATCACTGCTCATTTTCTCAGGTGTGATAATGATACCAGGTTATGTCTTTGAAAGAGTCTCTGTTAGGGACACAGATGCAGAGAGGCAGCAGGGGGTGGGTGAGGAGCAGCAGCAGTCTGAAGCCTCGATAGGAACGTAGGGTTCACTGGACCATCATTCTCTCTGACTGTATATGTGCTACAAAGTGTCCATAATGAAAACTCCTTTTAGAAAATAGACTCTACTAGTCAAATCTGATTCCTATATCTTCTAAAACACAGAAATCCTTCTGCGACCAGGTAGCACACCTCTCTGCAGCCTTATTTTTAGAAGTTGAAGTTCTATATAAAATTAGGAGAATGAAGTAAAAGCACAAAAGATGTGGCCATATCTACAGGAAGAACACAGCTGTGACTGGGACCCCAGGAAGTGAGCCAAGTCACTGGGATCCAGACCAGCGTCAGGAGCCCGACCTCCTGGAAAAAGCCCAAAAGTCAGTTTATCCCCCCAAGGTCCACCCCACCCCCCCAGCGGCCCCCACACACACAAAGCAAGAAACTACAAACCAGGACAGTGTCCTGCTACAGCACGTGATAGATTTCTGCACCTGCAAATAACACGTTAAACAGATAAACTCCCATGGCAAACACACCCTCTTAAAAATGAGCCTTACCATAGGGTAAACAGTCATCACGTTTTCCATGCTTAAATATCTGTGCCTAAGAAAAAAAGAAGTTCTATTAAAATGTTGCAGATTCATTTACAAATTTTAAAAAAATCAAGACAATCCTCTGCTCCTTCCATCATTTCTCCTCTGACCACTCACCACCGAAAAGCAAGAGAGCAGTGTCTGAACTGATGAAAGGAGGGCTACAGAGGCGGGAGGAGAAAGCCTCCGCAAGGGCATCGTCCACAGGGGTGCGGTCACTGACGGGGCTTCATCGGGACACGTGATGAAGCAACAGATCAATCAATGTTTCTCACATCGATCTCTCCCCCCCCCCTTTCTTTCTCGCCCTTCCCCCCTCTCTCAAAATCAATAAAAACATATCCTCGGTTGAGGATTAAAAGAGAGAGAATGTTCACCTGTGAGGGCGTTCTGCATTTCAGAGCGTTTAAGGTTCTTGCTTAGTGAGTGAGACCAGAGGTGCTTTAGCGGGAGTCAGTGCTTTTTTTTTTTTTTTTTTTTTTGGTGTACAGAATAACACTCAAACCAACTGAGCCAGCCACCCACCCGGAGCTAAACGTTCTTTATTTGCCAAATTCCTGACATGAACAGACCAGGAGGGCAGAAGGGATGAAAAAGGAGGAACAAAAATCAATTAGGACAAGGACCTTGTTTTTGTTTGTGGGTGTTTTTCACCTAAAAATGGGGCCATCATCACTACCCTTCCCCCGAGCGTGCTCCGAGCCTGGGAGCCTAGCACCAGGAGGAAGCGGTTGGACAGAAGGCACCAGACTGAGCCGCCTGCAGAAAGCACGCCCGTCAGAGGTCAAGGGCTGAGAGCACGCAGCAGCATCACACAGCTGGGAAATGCCCGCACATCTGTTGTGTTTAGAAACCAGCACAGCTCAGGAGCAGACAGCATGAGTTTCCTGGTGATCATTCTAAACAACCACCCCTTGATTGCTACCCTCCCGCTTCCCCTCCCCGGGGCATGTTCGCACGGCGGGTGAATCAGTGTCAGCGGCTCAGGAGCAGGTCCATCCAGCTGCCAAGCAGGAGATGCTGGTCCGAGGTTCCCTGAAGCACCATCAAGTCAAGGCCAAGAAAAGCAGCTCCACCCCAGGGCCAGGGAGAAAGGGCCACAGCACAGAACTCATGGCGCCCGTGAGTTCTCCTGTGAGGCGTGCACACTGGACACCGCTGGCCACCTGACTGCCCTGTCCCTGGTCCCTCGGGAAGAGCTCAGAGCAGACAGGACAGAGCTTGGGCAGATGGGCTCCTGAGTCTCCTGTGTCTCACCCCAAAGCTGAGCAGTGGTACCATGCCCTGTTGTGACACACAAAGAGGATGAAACAAACAGGAAGGACCGTCAGCACCCACAACAACCAGCTTCAGGCTGGACGCCTTTCCAGGCATGGCCCATGGCCCTCACCTGTGGGAAGAGCCCACCCAGGGCCACACCTTCCCAGCAGGGCAGCAAGGCTGAACTGGGGCCTTGTCCTTTACTAACAGCCAAAGCACTTTACACAGGATCCCAGCACTCCCGCCTGAGGCCCCTCCAGCTGTTCCAGGAGAGAACCTCCCACTACCACCCACTGCAGCCTGGAGCTCTGCTGACTTAAATAAATGAAAGTGAGGGGCATCTCAAAGGGCCCCGCAACGCCTCCCCAAGAAATAACAGCAGACTGACACTGGACAGAGAGCACAGAGCCGTGGGGCAGCCAGTGAGCACCAAGCCTGGAAAGGAGGGGAGAGCCTCCTGCACAGCCCAGCCCACCCCAGCACAGCCGGGACCCAGCATCCTGGTTTGTGGCAGGGCTGGGGAGGAGGGAGAAGACACAAAGCAAACAACGCTGAACACATGGGTGTGAAGCAGAGGTGCACAGGACCAAGGGAAGAAACAAAGAACTAAGGGTCAAGGGGGAATCGGGAGAAACGTCAGTGGCCCACAGACAGGCCCTGA